TACTCTGCATGAAATTACGCCTGTATTTGCTCTGGAATATGCCCGTGTGCATAAGCCCTTAGAGTTAGTCTGTTATCTGTCAGTCCCTTAGCACATTTGACTGACAGCTACAGGTTTATCTAACAGGGAAGTGCAAAGTGCTAAGTACTAAAATAGTGACTCACTATGGTATGAGCAAATGCTTTTTCGGATGTTATATTGATTTTTCTTTCCCTTAAAATTCTATTGCTCATTATTTACATGGTTGCAACATAACCCATATTATCACATTAATATTTAACAGATGGGTATCTTTAAACAATATTATAACAAATACCAGACTTGATGAAAGTTGCTCTATAGAAAAATTTTAATTTGCCCAAATTATAAAAAAAAAACAATTTCCAGGAGTATTTCAACATTTCATAATGCACAGCAAAGCATTCCTTTAACAGACGGTGTTTAGATGTCATCACGTCCTAGTTAAACAATTATTCCAGATTATAAAGAGTTTATTTCTATTTAAAAGTAATGGATGGGGCCATGCAAAGCATCTCTCTTGCCCAACTATGCAACATAGGGGATATGTGTACTTCCAGTACTTTTTCTTGCTTATTCCTGCATTCTTAACCAAGTTATTTGCAAGGAGTACCTTGTTTTCTGATCAACAAGAGTCTCAAACCTGGTAGATAGGGATGGGCCTCAAACCTGGTAGCAGTTAATTTAGACTTTTTCTTCAGCATCTGTTTCTGGTAGTTATATACATGAACAGTCTGTCTGTTATCTCCATCTAGTGGTTTTCTTAGCCTCAGTGCTCCTGTGCTCGGCTACAGCCTCAAGTCACATAATTATGTGCTCTGTATCTTCTTTTTTGGTTATATCATTTCGATGATCCCACAGTGTGTATGATGGAGTACACCATGCCTGTGGTATTCCACAAATACCAGAATACTGATAGCAAGATGATTTTAACTCCTTCATGACTGAGGCCCTTTTTTCATTTTTTGCACCCATGTTATATTCCACATTTTAGGACGGAAAATGACGTAAAACCCCCCAACATTATATATTTTCTGAATGCCAAGACCCTATAGAACAAAATGGTGGTAGTTGAACATTTTTATGTTGCGCAATATTAGCGCAACTCCTTATTAAACCCCAAAATTTAGTGACAAATCTAATTAAATGCCCCAAAACACAACAAATTACCCATTTTTTTTAATGAAATAGAAAAGATGAGGTTACAACGAGTAAAACAAGTAGGGAGGCCTTGGTCCACTATGATTATACCCGACTGAAAGACCTGGGCAGGTAAGTTATTATCCCTGTATGAATTCCAATGGTTAGGATTCAATTTTGACAGGAGTGTGCCCTTAGAATAAAATGTTGACAGGAGTGTACCCTCAAAATAGATGGCAGTGCATCTCTGTACTTACAATTTACAAAAGCATACAATCTTAAAAGCAAGCCTGGAGATGGGATTTAAATTGTAGGTTTATTAAAGCAGTCCTTGTTCTCATCTTCCTAGTTTCTTCACAGCAATATTGCTCTTTGCCAGGGAACAAGCAACTACTGAAGGAAATCACATGACCAAATGTGGAGCATAAAAGCTGAAGTGGGACCAAGAAAATGGAATAGACATGATGGAAGTTACCAATAGGCCAAGTCTCACATGCAAAGCGCAGAGTCAGTTGGCTCCAGGACTGTAGAGTTCGAGACCATAGGTGGAGAATTTAAAGTATCCCTGGGTGAGGGAATGTTCTACTTGAGTACACTGTACCGTCCCCCGATTTGGACATACAAGTTACATTTTTGTTAGTGCGCAACTGTTTATCACAGATGGAGCCATGGATATTTTGCTACATTTGTTGCCATTTTCATACAGGGCCCTTCTAGCACCATACCTATTAGCGGTGATAGGCTTAATCTATAGGCTTATTAAGATTGGCTCTTTTCTGCTGGAGGGTGGGCCTGCAGTGACCCTAAGTCTGTGAAAATTGTTGTGCAAGAAGCTGCTTTATTCCTTTTTTAGACATGCACCTGGGTGAGAAATAAGCTCTGTAAGATGCATTTTAGGGCTTCCCACTTGACTGGGGGCGACTTCCCACTTGTCTTAGGCATGGTCAGTGAGAAACTTTAAAATTGCCAAGGGAAGAATGGTTTAGAGGTGTATGATTGTGAAATAAATAGAGAAATGATCAGACCATAGCTGTGTCCTTATGTAGGCCTGGGGTTAGCAGCTAAGGATACAGTGGAAGGGTAATGGTAATCAATTCTGCTATAAGAGGAGCATGTCAATGAGTGAAATGTATAATCCCTATCTGTAGGATGCAATGTATGGCATAGCTCAATGAACTGTCATTTTTTTGTAATACTTATTTTATTTTTTTTAGTTGTCAGGGAAGTCGAAGTGTCACGATAGGAATTTACGGCTGCGTTGAAGTCTCCTCTCGGGATTCTCACCTCCTCCATGAAGTCATCCACCTAAAGAAGAAAAGTAGCAAGAACAGTTGCTGGTCCATGACTGGACAAGAAAACATTGGCTAGCGTAAATAGTTATATAATTTCATCATATATAAGTTATCATAAGAAAATGAATCTACCCTGCTCACCTATCAATTATTTAAATCATAAATAGGTAGAGGTGTGGTTGCCTATAGCTAACCCCCTGAATTTATGGGTTAGGTTATTACTAGTGTGCCACCTGCAGTGATAATCGGCAGCAGTATAGGGACATTAGTTGCCTTGAAATGTAGAAGAAACAAGACCTGTACATGCTTTTGAAGCATGTTATTGAGCACCTTGAAACATTTTTGTGCGATGGTAAATCTACTCACATTGAGGATCCAAATGTAATACTCGTCACGTTGGCAAGGATGGATCCAATATGTGCGGACAGCCCTTCATTTGGTACATCATCTTTTAGATATTTTTTTATGCTGAGGCAGATGGACATTCACTCTCCTCCAGTGATATCCTTGATGAAAACATGAAGGGTAAGTCTGAAGAGGTGTCATCTCTCAAAGACCAAATGGGTCAGGCTTTAAAGACCCGAGACTGAAGGCAGCAGGCTGATCCTTCAGATGCAACATAGTACGTACAGCACTGATTTCAGAAAGTATTCAGAAACTCTTTTCACTGAAAGAGTATTTGATGCTTGGGACATACTTCCAGTGGTGGTAGTTAGTCAGTAAGCAAATGTAACCCTTTCGCTGCCAGGCCCCTTTAACCCCAGGTGGCCAGAGAATATTTGCAAATTTCCACTTACAGCTTTGTAAAAGACCACACACCATACATTTTATGAAAGCAAAGGACCAACAGAATAAAAAGATGTTGCTACTGATTTTGTATGTCCCATGATAGTTGCGCAAATGTTTATCAAGACAATATTCACATTGAAATCATTTGTAGCGTAAACGAAAGTAGCATAAAAATGTAAAAAATCTGTACTAAATCTAGAAGATAAAACTTTATTGAATTCATAGATAACAAATATTTGTACATTTTAAATTGTGTCTTTTTCTAAAACAGTGAAAAATCGGGAATATGCAAAACTGTAAATGAGCAACTTAAGCTAAAATTCTGGAGGTTTTATTTAATTATGGTAATGCCCGACCTGCAGTGTTGTGTGTGTACTATATTGGTGTGCATTGCATAAGGAGATGCAGGCATAATCCGTACTGCACTGCAGTGCTACAACACACAGCAATGTGTCGCAACAATCAACAGTCAATAGAGTTAAATAAATGTTATTTATAAAAAGTTAAAAATAAATTGAAGAATTGAGATGCATAGTACCAATGCACACCAATGCATGTGCGTTATATGCTCCATAAAGAGCATCCACTGGTGTACAAGTTACGTATGTGTGCATGTGTATCTTAATTCTTTTAGCAGTAATGTCAGTGGGTTTTAGTGAAATATTGGTGGTCTAAACAGACCTGTGATATTTCCCTTATGCGATGGAGAAAGATTAAAGACATGGAGTCCTCAATTTCTTTCTCCTCTATAGCCCCAGCACTCACTAACTGCACTGAGCGTTTCCTGTTCATTCACAAGCTGAGACGATAGTATGTTGACTATATCCTCAGGTATGAATGAACAGGAAGTGCTTCATGTTCATTCACATACTGTGGAGATGGTAAATATTTACTTCAGGTTCATTCAGCAAAGTGCATGATTGGTAAATATGACATATTTACTGATCCGTTGCACACCAGCCTGAATTCTGTTCATGATCCTCCTTCCTCACTGGGCGTTGGCAGTTTGCTCACCTGTGTCCCCTCCACAACCCACTGTCTCTGTTGATACAGGCAGGGGGAGAGCAGAAGTGACCATGAGCTTATAGCAGAAGGGAGAATACAGCTGTCGTAAGGCAAACTGACCTGGCCAGCTCAAAGCAGCCCTGTTATGCTGTATGAGGCTCTGGTTCATAAGGCACAGGACTCACCAGGCATGGCTAAGGAATACTCTGATGATGAATTTGACTCTAACTATAGGGTAACATGATTACAGACATCAGTACCTTCATAAGGCAAAGAACAAATGTCCCTGGAATAATTGGGGGAGCAGAGGTTGTCTCCTCAGGAGGTCTTGTACAAACCCCAAATTGCAACTTCTAGCCAACAGACAGGGATGGGGGGCAAGGTGGGGTTGGGGAACTGCTCTGACTTGGGTGTAAGTAAATTTAAGCTTCTTTTCAGAATTTTGCAACAGAGGAGCTATGGAGAGCCAAGAAAACTGCTAAATAGAAGCTGAAAACCCAATCTGCTAGCTTCATATGAAAATATAAATATGCGTTTTGTATTCACTTGACTACGGAAAAATGAATGTTTTTCAGCCCAGATAGTAAAGTAGGAGAATACATACAATTCACAGTGATAGGGTCAGTTTTGACAGACTATGGTGCTAGAGAACATAACTGGAATCACAACTGCAATATGAAGATTATATGAAAGAAAGAAACTTTAATTTCAATATAAATTTAATGAAAAAGATATACTTTAAATGAAATACATACATAAAATGCCAGCATCATACATTTTCACACAAATCTGCTACCCAGCTGAAATCTGTCTTTCGTATCCTTTTCAGTAGTTTTTCCTGGGCTTTAGTGAGGTGGCCATATGTGGCAGGAAACATAGAGTGAATAGGATCTTGAATAGAGGGAACAGGATCTTGACTTTCTGTTGGTTGCTGCAGATCTTCATCTGACTCCGCATCTGTATTTTCGCTTTCCGCTTCTATATCTTTGCTCACTGGCTCGGGGCTGCAACAAAACACATTATAAATGTTACAATCTTGTAGATCTAGACAATATGATTTTACTGAAATTACTGAAATAATTCAACTACCGTTTCCAAATATTTGTAGACAACCTATGAGACCCCCCTCCCCATTTAGTATAGTGCTAGGATCTGTGTACCAATGATCAAGGCAATCATACTAGGTGTTAGTAAGGGCATTTAACCCATCAGAAACACAACAGACATGGTATTTTCACCATGGACTGCCAGCAAAAAAGAATAGCTGAAGAAGTTCGAGAAGCACCCCTCACATATCAAGAAAGTACATTTGACAGAACAGTGAACACTACTGCAAGCCAAACTCGTAATGGTTAGTGCAAACAAAACCTTTCAGGTTTCCTTTACATTATGCTTTGTGTTAATGCACATGAAATGCTTATGTTCAGCAAGAGGAACCTATTAAAGATGAAAATATTAAGGGCCCATTTACACCAGCAGCTGAGCTACACCACATGGCTTCTGGTGTGCATGTGCACGTCACAATGCTGATGTGCTGATCGTGACGCATCACAGTTTTTTTTGTTAGAACTTTATTGAAATGTCACAGGTGACACTTCATAGTGGTTCTACCACGTTGCAGTGCAATGAAAAAAGTACTAATGCACCCTGTGCCAAACCCTGTGTAGCTGCAAGCACTATAAGAAGTGTTACCCTCTAAATGTATCAAATTATAATAAATGAAACATTGTATGCCATACTTTTTTTCCAGCACACAGCAGCAACACGGTGGTGTGAACCGAGCCCATCTGGGACAAGGCAAATTGCCTTGTCTTGCGGCTGTGCTGGAAAAAACAGTCAGCACAGCCCCATCGCAGTGAGCTTGAATGGGCCCCTAATACTCATGGCAAATGAATACATTACAGCTTGGTGCATGGGTTCTTTAACTATTTAATCTGAGGACTTGAATAATAAAATTGTTACAGCACTGGGCAGAGCTGCAGCTAGCTCCTTTTGCGCCCAAGGCAAGAACAAAAAAATGTGCGCCCCCCCCCGCAACAGGCGTGTGACGTCACCCAACGCGGCGCACATACGGCATTATGTGACTTCTTGCGCCCCGCCTCCAGGATGTGTTTTTTAATGTATTTGTTATAATTTTTTTTTTACTGTTGGGGAAGGGGGGGCTTCACGGAAATAATAGGGGTCTAAACAGTCCCCTGATATTTCCCTTTTAAAATAAAGAAATTGAGGACACAGAGTCCTCAATCTCTTTCTGCAGCCGGTGTCCTAAATGAAAAGGACAGAGGATTCCCATTCATTCAAAAAATATTTACTATCAACCAGTTTCTGAATGGGAAGAAACCTCTGTACACAGTGCTACTCCCCATTCAGATACTCATGAATGAACAGGAAGTGATGTAAAGCACATCCGGTTCATAAATAACTGCCGACACATTGTACTAACATTGGAGTGATCAGCTGATCACTCCAGTGTTTGTTCTGCACAGAGAGGATTTCACAGATATTTACCGATCCCTCTGCTCTCCATCCTGAGCCGCTCGGCCATGCAAAAAGGGGCAGCACAACCTGCAGCTTCTTCTCGGATCTCCGCTGCTCTCCCCCGCCTGTATGGGCAGAGGCAGTAGGGATCCGAGGAGAAGTGAAGGGCTGACGCTGGCAAGGGTGGAGACACGACAGAGGAGGGAGTGTCGTTACTTCAGGATAGCCGAGCGGTGAGGAGAGAGAGAGCTGCCAGCTGTCAGATCCTTGCCGAGCGCCTCTCTCTCCTCACCGCTCGGCCATCCTAAAGTGACAGCTCCCTCCTCCTTTATTTTCTTTTGTTCAGTTCGCAGGCTGAACAAGAGTAAGGGCTTGTTCACACCTACAGTTGCACTCAACGCCATGGCTGCTGGTGTGCGTGTGCCCAGACAGTGCCAATGCTCTCGATCGAGCCGCATTGCACTTACTTTGTTTTTTTGGTTTGAACTTTTTTGAAATGTCACAAAAGACATTTAATTATGTTCTATGGGCATGTCGCAGTGTGATTCAGTTGTACCGTGTCTCACTGTAGTGCGCTTAGAAAAAATACTGCATGCCATACTTTTTAAGCATTGCAGTGGTGTGAACTATGACCACCCGTGACAAGGCAAATTGCTATGGTGGAGAATGAAAGGATTTCAGTGTACTGGGGGTTTGCGGTGTTGGTGTATATTCACATATTGATATTTCATTGTGGATTTTAATAAAGCTTGGATTATTATTACTGGAGATCCTAGGAGTGCGGTCTGTTTGGACACTGAAGTGGTTGGAGGTGAGAATGCACCTGTTTGACCAGCACCATTGGAGTCTCCAAAACACGAATGTGGCCGGAGAATCTGAGCAGTGAGATCTCCTTGTAATTGCTATGCCTTGTGTTCAGGCTACGCTGGAAAAAACAGCCAGCACAGCCCAAACGCATATGGTGTCATGGGGCCCTAAATCATGCTGTGTATAGCAGCCTTAACAGGCATGCGGCTGTCAATGCTGCTGTGTTGCCTGTACACTGTCACCCTATTTCTTGCTCTGACATCAGTAGCAGAGATGGCAGGCATGAGCGGTGACTCTTGACATACATGTCTGGAATCCAATTTGGGTTGTGAATCAGAGTTTAGGAATAATGCTCTTTCGCTTTATTTCACTAAGTCACCATTTTTAAAAGAAAGTGGAAAATCAGCTTTCTGATTAATTCCCATCTGTAGACATATTTTATTTTTCTCACATTTACATAATGCCCAGACATTATCTAAATGTCTGCTTCTCAAAGTCATTACAGGAATAAGAGGATGCAGATGATCAAAACTAACATGGGTTTTATAAAGGTTAGTTCATAAAATTACAGCAATACGAAGGTTTCCAAGCCTCTCTGCCATTAACAAGTAGGATACAGCAATCTTAGTTAAGACATCCAATAATTCTCTGGGTGCACTTGCTCATATGGCTATTAATGTGCACAAGTGCCCCAAAACATAAGTGGTAAATGTCTTTTAACCCTGCCACTGGCGTAAGGCTTACAGCGGAACAAAAATGTTCCCAGCCTGTCACGTCAGTAAGCCTTACGTTGGTGGCATTTACCGTTCAGCTATAATCTCTGCTTCATCAGCTTCTTTGGGGTACCTAGGTGACATTAGGGGTCTTGGGGACCCATTGTCTTCATAAAGAGGACCTGTCATTTTTTTCCTAGCTATCACATTGGGGGCTTTTTAGCTCCCTATGTTATAGCAATCAAGTTAATTTTTTTTTTTTAAAGTCATATTAAAAAAACACATCCAAAACAGTTTTAAGTCTCCCGCCCACGCACTTATACACGTAAATACGCGTAAATATGCATAAATATGCATCGGGTGCACATACATGCAAAAAAAACGATTACGCCACACGTTACATTTTGCTGCGAACGTCGCAGTGAGAGCAAAAATTCTAGGCCCATTAATCACTGATAACACTAAACTGATGGCCAATTTTAGGCATGGTAGTTTTTAGCGATTTTGTGAGCGCATGCAATTTTAAAGCTTGACATGTTTGGTGTCTATTTATCTGACGTGACCCCGTGTTTTATGTTTTACCAAATAATTGCGTAATAATAAATGTTTTATAACATAACAAAAGGAGAACAGTTTTTTTTTTCAAAATTTTCGGTCCTTTATTCTTTATAAACCAAAAAAATGAAATCTCAGTGGTGATTAAATACCACTAAAAGAAAGCTCCATCTGTCCCCAAAAAATGGTATAACATTAATTTCAATCCAGCGTTGCATGATGAAATAAATGTCAGTCAAAGTACCGCAGCGCTGAATACTGAAAAATGGCCTGAGCAGGAAGGGGGTTTAACATCCCGGTCAGCAAGTGGTTAAACCCATCATGCACTTCTAATGTATGCTCTAAATTTTACAACTTGGACAGAATAAAGGATATTGCGAACATTTAAAGTATTATCAAAATTGGGGTTATAATCTGTACTTCCGCTTTAAATGCATAAAATATAAAGTTATCAGCATGTCGAAATATCAAGTTGTAGTCAATAGTTTAGAAATTAGGTACTTACCATTTAGTTGGCTTGGAGATCAATAAAGAATTCACGAACATTGTACATAAAACAGATGGAGGTGGCAATACATGAGCTGGAGTATGAAGAAGAAGCTAAAAACAAAAAATATCAATAAATGTTTCTACAAATATAGCTGGAACATTGCTAACATTTGACATTTAGAACAAAGCAAGTTGGAACCTTTTTACTTGCATTACAAATCTTAAAACGAAGAGGATTCATTATGATTTCAGGATAGAGGAAAGAGCTATGCAAATGGTTCCTTTATGCCCCTAGGTTCACTGTGCATCTAGAACCACCAATTCATAGCACAAACACAGACTAATATTAGAGACATTTATTACGAAATGAGTACAGCTTCTTCAGGCTTTATATGGAATTAGCATGGGTTTTCTCTGGGTGTTCCATTTTCCCCACAACCTCAGGGCAAAGCTTACTATGTATAAAGTAAATTGCTGCAGTCTCCCAATTTAAATATGTAAAACACATAAAACAGGGCTTTAAAACATGTGACTACAGAACAAAACAAAAAATACCTCTTTAACTGCAGATGTCTGAGCTTTGTGTCCAGCAAGGTGGGTTTTCTCTGAGTTCACAGTTGGATTATCCTGTTGATGCTTCTTCCCAAACAATGTGTAGAAAGGTGTGTAAGGTAAACTTTCTTCCGACGCCATCTGAAAACAAATAAAAAAATGTCTGCAAAGGTTCTTATTTCATTCTGGCCCCTAGATAGACAAATATAATAAAATGCTGGATTCCAGGCAGGAAATAAGATTCAGATTATATAGCCTACATACTGCTAATGCTGAATATCAATAGAAAACATTTTCTTTATAATCATACATAACCATTAATGAGGGAGAAGTGCAAGGATGAAAACAAATCTGTGGCCCCAATAGCAATGGTTTTCATTTAATCATTCCCCTCCGATATTGCTCTAGAAGTAATGCTTTAAACAAGGTTAGTGGAACAAAAAAAATCTATGGTGGTTGTCTTTCTTCGAGGTGTCTTTAAGGTTGTGGGTGTTATAGGATTGAGTGACAAAGTAAAGTCCTGATGATGCAGTGAATCTTAAAAATGCATTCAAGCAACCCAATACATAGTATAACCTACCGTATGTTAACCCCGGCGGTGAACTACAACCATTATACTGGAATTAGCTAGAAACTTAAAATATATGCTCTTGTTTATAGATCATACTGCGCTGACATATGTACTAAAACCTACACATATTTAGGGTCCCTGTACTCAGGATAAGGAGGAGAAAAAAGTTTGCTGAAAATATTTGAAACCAATTTGATTGGCTACGTTACTCATTAAACAAATGAAAACTGCATTTATTCACATTTTTGTCCATTTCTATTTTAGTATCATAATAAATATTCAGTGTCTTTATAAAACACAAATTACCATATGTGTGTCAAATGATGTAAAAATTATTTTGTTTAAAAAAAATAAATAAAATAAAAATGTAACCACTCAAGAGTAGTAAAATGCTGCCTACCAAAACTTCACAATCTGGTCACAAAGGCTTTGACTATCCCCGGGCTTTTAAAAAAAAATTACATTACTGGTCCCATTGGAGAGATCACATTTTTGTTGGCCACTGTCACCGGGACAAAAGGTGAGGCAAGATCCCTCCTACTGGAACCTAGAGGGTCATAAAAATCTAAAGAAGCCTACTTTTCTAAAAGTATACTGCCTCAGTGGGGTGGGAGGACTGAAGGTCTGCTTTGAATGAAAATTTCAACACAACTTAAATATAGGTTTTAATTGATAAAGTAGTATATTGTTTCCACTACTGCAATTTTCCAATAGGAATATAATGTGGTATGAAAACCTTAAAGAATTTTGCACATGCAGCTCCATCCTAAAAGAAAGTGTAATTCAGTGGGAGTATGTCCCAAATTTGTACTTATATTTTTACCAAAATATATCAGTGGATATTAAATAAATATTTTTAAATAAAATGTGGCCTAATTAGGGGTTAACTGCCTGTGAAAATGTTATTTCTTCAGAACCAGTTTAAACAGAAGATCAATTTCTCTTTTATTGAAACAGCACTCTGTCCTTTTGTTTGAAGAGCACCAGTTATGATTGGGCTTAAATAGGAATCTCCAGTCTCAAATGTAATTGTCACTAATCTAATGTATAAAAAAAATATACACACACACACACACACACACACAGGTTATCCTCAGAAACTGTATATTATAGATGACTTTTCCTATAAAATTCATGCTTAGCTCCACCCATCTTGTGCCTTTTTATTGGTCTTTTAATATATTAGGCAGTATCACTGCCCAGTAGAGAGTCTTAGAACAGAAAAAAAAACAAAAACTACGACAAATCTTATCTTTTGCAGGGAGCCTCACGATTTGCATATAACAACAGCCACCTTTTTTTCCTTATCTACAGATACATCTTGATTTATTTTCCCCATATCTTAAGGAGATAATGCTGTTACAATAATGATACATTGATTACCGTTCTCCTGTTTCTTTTAATTCATTCGTTCAAACAGCTAACAGTATGCTTAGAGAACAATTTCAAGCAACAAGTGAAACCAATCAGCCAATTTACAATAAGCGGAGTTGGGCAATTCCATGCAACCAGAATCCAGATCGTATCTTACTGGGTTGCTGAAAATGTACTTCCTGAATCTTGTGCTGAGTAACTGCCTTTCTCGTAGCCGTTAGTAAAACCAATCACAGAGGCAGTCTTATGTTTGTACTTAGGAATACCTCTCCAACATGAGAAGCAGAAATTCTTCAAAACGGCAAACTACTAAAATGAAGGACTTGACTGGGCTAGTGTTGTATAGCAGTGTCAGGAAGAAAAACAACTCAGAATGTAGGCGTCCCTGTAAGCATCTTAAGATTTAACTTCAATGGGGTGACGCTTAAGGACAATGTAACTTGCATACAGCCCAGGCAATATGGTTGTCATTTCAATGATGTGAGGCAACTGCTACCGAGGTTCAGTGGGCCCAACTTGAACAGTTAGTGTATAGCTTTCATCTTTTCTGCTCAACAATAGGGCCCTATGCCTATTGTGCTCACCAAACTGGATAACTGCTTTTTGCGAAATGTACACTGACTGACTGAAGAAGTCTGCAGAAAGAAACTAATACTGACAACCAAGTCATGTGCCTTTACCAGTACTTCATACTTTTTTTTGCGTTTCCCCATTTGCATTTACCTTTCTGTCTGTCTGTATAATGCATGCATAACTTAAGATAAACTCCACTGTACAATTACATTTTAGATTGTGATAACTTGGCATTTCCTTTATGCAAGTATGAAAATAGAAGTCCATGAAAATTAAACGCTTCAGCACTTCAAGGCTGTACACTATATGTCCAATAGTTTGCGGACACCTGACCATCACACCTATATGAGCTTGTTGGACATCTCATTTCAAAGCCATCGCTATTAATATGGAGTTGAACCTCCCTTTGTGGCTATAACAGCTTCTACTGTTCTGGAAAGTCTTTCCACAAGACTTCAGCGTGTTATTTGGTGTGAATTTGTGCCCCCTCGACTAAAAGAGAATTTGTGAGATCAGGTACAGGTGCTAGAGAAGAAAATCTGGCCTACAACTGATGTTTGAATTTAAGTCAAAACTCTGTCCAGGCCACTAGACTTCCTCTACACCAGACACGTGAAAGGTCTTTATAGATGTGGCTTTATTTACAGGGGCAAAGTCATGCTGGAACCGAAAAGAGCCTTGCCCAAACTGTTGCCACAAGTTTGTAAGCACCAATTGTCTAAAAAGGCTTGCATGGCTGTGTGTTTGATTTTATGTACCTGGTTTTAGAATGGGATGTCCAAAAAGCTCTTACAGGTAAGATTGTCAGGTGTCCACAATTATTTGGCCATACAGTGTGTATGGCCCAGATCACACGTCAATGCCTATGAAAGGCCCTGAATATACAGAAGCCTTCATGCCATTAGGCTTACAAGACATAAAATAAGATGCAACTGCAAGTACATAGCTATGCCTGATTTTAAAGTTATGCCTTTACCTGTCCCTTAAGTGCAATTCCAGTACCAGATATCAACTAATATCATATGTGCTTACCTGTTTAATTATTGGTTCCATGCTCTCTTCTGGGGACTTTGTGCTGAAAGTTAACAGGTCCTGGAAGGCAACACAGACACCATTATGTAATTAAATTGCGATACACATTTCAGAATGTGCGACCAGTTTATTCTCAGTTACTTACTAAAGATGCTAGATACCTTATTGCAGAGAATATGTATAATCACATTTCAAATATATTTTATTATTCTAACACAATCTAATCAACTGGTTGATAAAAATGTCAGAATAGATCCCCGCTAAACAAATGCATGGGCACATATCATTTTTTTCTCTGGTTATCTGGCATACAACGTATATGGTAAAGATATGTACAGAGGATAACATCCAACCAAATCTGGCTGGGCTGATTGTCCATATAGTAAAGAATATTTTTGCAATACCAAATGTCACTAGTGTGCCTAAGTGAAATCAATAAACACAGCTTTTTAAATCAAACCAATGAGCACTGGATGGGGTACAGCTCCATGTTCATATACTCATGGGTCACATGGTCAAAATTTTCGATATATTCTTCATACAGCTTAAAGTGTTGGGACGGTTCCTTGCAGGAAAGTGCCACCAACTCTGAAACCCTCCTACCCAAGGTGATGGCGACAAGGAAAATCACCTTGTACATATACAAGATGTGCAAGTACAAGATCCACCAGAAATATATCTCCGATAGGTTCAAAGGGAGCATGCTGTGGAGCTTAAAGCACCAGAATGACATCCCCCAGCATCACTGGAGGACATCTTGGGGTTAGTCCCATGAGCAACCCCTTCATAAATGCCTCAATCAAAGGAATGAGTGGCCAGCAGCCGCTAAAAAAGGATGGCCAAGGCCGATATTCTTTCCTTGAGAGTGCTGTATGAATGATGGACATGGATCCTTCAGGATCTGAACTTCAACAGCCAAGTCATCAAAGCCAGTGACCGAGAAGCAGTATGTAGTAATGGGCCTTAAGACAAAAGGTCTGGTCGGTCTGGAAGTGGCCATAGGGAGTCCGCAAGAAGCCAAACGATATCTATGTACCACAATCTTCTGGGCCAACTGGGAGCCATGAGGATCACTGGAATGTTCTCTTTCTTAGTTTTGCAAAGCAGACAAGGAAGGATCTTTAACCGAGGAAAGACTTGGAACAGAGAGAACTGGTCCCAAGGAGTCACCACAGGATCCATTGCAAAGGCCTTTGGATACCTGGATTGCAATTTACAAACTGGTGTACGAGATCCACGTCCAGTGTCCCCACAGTGCAGCAAATCGCGGCAGACCCTTCAGGTGTAGAGACGATTCTCCCCGATTTCATCCGCTTCTGACTGAGAAAGTCTGCCTGCCAATTGTCCATTTCTGGAATGTGCAGCTCTGCCCAGGCCATGAGCAAGTCCATCTGTACAGGCCAGATCAGATCCCCCTGTCCAGGTGAGTCAATGGCTACATGCTCTCGCAGCTCATCAATGAAAGCCAAAATGGGGTGATGTATTTTTGGAGGCAAGGTTTCTTCTGTGAAGAAATTCTGAGGAGGTCTACACCTCTACTTCCACAGCCTATTTCTTCATCATTCTCCGAAAGCGAGTCAGAAGGGGAAGGAGATGGGGGACTGCTCTTGTGCCCTCTGTAGCCCAGACACCTCAATCATGGCAAACATTGGAAGCAAATAGGTGAGCAAATTTCGCACAGCACAGGGTTATACTGGTGACTACAGGAGCATTTGGACATTTTCAAACAAAATATTTGTGGCCCCCCTTGGTATATCCCCCTCCAACACCCAGCAGGCTTCAGTTTTGTGGAAAAGCAGTACCAAGAGGATTATCATAGACACAGAGGTGTGTCCCGCAATGATCCTGAATCACGCATGCACAAGGCCACACGCTGTAGTGCACGCATGTGTCTGCATTGGTTTTCTTGTACTGGAGCAAAGCGTTTTCAGCACAATTTAAGTATGTATGCGCTTGTGCACACCTGGGACATGCATGTGTGAGAACACAACCAGACACACAAATGTTCACTGCAAAATAAATTAAATAAAAAAAAAAAAAAGCAGCAGGACCTACATTTTTAATGCATTAACAGGTGTTACAGCCCATTCATTTTAAATGAGCTGCATAACACAATGTGCCACAACAAAGAAATGTAATGTCTTCCCCTTGGTGCTCATTTAAGACTGCTACACATTATAATGCTGGTAGGATACTTGCATATCGCTGACAGCGGAACACACGAAATATACAAGATCCTTCACTCCTGTACATAGAATAGCTAAAGATTGGGACATGCTCACAAGATGAGAAAACTTCCTGTGTGACAACCAGCACCTTCGACTGCATTCGGTACTCATACATGTAGTATCTTGCACTACAAGAACATCCTAAAGAAGATGCTAGAAATTTGGAGATTTGACTTAACTATGGACATCTATAGGTTACCTTATCCAACCAAATGTTTTACATCCCCTGAACTGGAACATTTCTTGAGATTTACTGTAACCTGACTCACTCAACCCCACTGCTTGAACCACTCAACCCCACTGCTGGAACAAGTACAACTTTGCACACGGTCTATTACGATAGGAACAGAAGTACAAAAGAAAAAAGGTCTTTGGGGTGTGAAAATACTAAAACATCCAAAGAAGGTAAAGGCGGAGTGGACGTTCAATTGGAAAGTAAAAACATTACTAGTTAGAATTTTTTTTTAGCCATGTCAAAGATATGAGAACACCAATATATGAAATACAAGTGTTGGAGAATGAAAAGCCCAGAAATAACTTGTGCCAACTGGAGCAGAGAAAACAAGTTCCAGACACAGGACTTGTTAGTTTGTGGCTTTGAGGTATGGGCTGACCTTTTCTGAAGAACCAGGAGAGAGGCATGCAGACTAATCAAAGCCAGAAGTTAGCCTGCAATAAAATCAAAGTTGCTGAGTACTTCTGAATACAGCAGAAAATACACAACCACCAGAATTAAAAGCAATTATGGAAAATAAAGGTAAGCAAAATAAATCACCGGCAGATCCTAATTGCAGCAGAAAAATAATAGTAATTTCTTAAATAGTAACATACTATTGAAATGAGCACAAAGATATGTCCATTCCTAAAGTAATTGGCTGGTAGCAGACTACATTGCATTAACTACAGTGGAGTATTTAAAACATACATTGTATATATGACTAGGGCTGCAGCTAACAAATATTTCCATAATTGTTTAGTTGGCCGATTAATCGGATAAAGAAAGAAATTAAATACCATCTTTTATTTAAAATAAAATACACAAATGGTGTGTTACAAAGTTTCTCTATCTGGTCATCAGTTTAGCGTTAGCCATGATTATTGACCCGAGAATTATTGCTCTCATTCTGCCGCATGCAGCGATACCCGACGTGTAGCGCAATCATCATTTTCGTACATAGGTGCACTCAACTTGTGTTTCTGTAGTATGCGTGCGTTCGTAGGGGACCTTTAATTTTTTGGGTGGTAATTAGAGGTGCACCGAAATGGAAATTTTAAAACCGAAAATTTAAAAAAAGGGTAAGTTGCTTACAGCCAGGTAGCTTCTCCACTGGCACATATTTGGGGTTGAGGTAACACTAAGCATTTCAGGAAATTGCAGCTCTTAAACATTAGAAACCTCTCGACATGATGAGTAACGATCTTGGAGAACAGAAGCCATTGACAGCAGGGCAACCCAATGAAGTGCAGGTCCTAATAAATCTAGCTTATTCCAACAACCACCAACACAGAAATCTCATGGTATTGCTGCGATATGCTTTTTGAAAAGCACAACACTATTTTCAGAAAACCACTTGTGACATGTTGCTTGCTTCATTTTTTTGTGCCAAGGGAGAGACATCTATAAACACTCTAAAGGAAACAATGACTCTCAGATCTCTGCATTTGTCCAGCTCTTTACATAAATAATCAGTTACTTGCTTACCTGAGTTTCTGTGAGGAAATAAAGCTGAGATCTGACCAGCCAGCTGTGTTTTACTGAAGATATAGGTGCCGGAACAATCCTTGGCACAAACACAGCCCACTGTACATCGTCTTCGCAGACATTCTCATGGACATACAATGGCATAGGATCCGTAGGGTTGAATATGAACACTGAAACAATAATACGCCAAAATACATTAGCATTAAAATACTTGCAGCAATCATAATTAATAACCACTAACATGGCAAAAAAGATTAGGTGAAATGTAAAGATTTCGTTTTTACTTTCACTAGGAAAGTGAAAAACTCTTTAACTTGGGAACTTATGGTTGGCAGTGGGGTAAATTCTCATAAATTCGTCTCAATACACCAGTCAATCAAAAAAACAAGGACCTACGTTCAGGAACACATACTTCTGCATACCCCTATCTTCCCCAGCAGCAGAAAATAATGGGGGTAATACGCAAAACCAGAAAGAAAAAAATGGGAAAACTAAAAAGATATCAGGGCAATAGGTGAGGGAAAATGCTCCAATGAGAACACCTGTCCCTATGACAATGCTCTACGATGCGAACTTCATTATTTTAATAGGGATTTTCTCTCACTCCCTGCTGCGTGTTCAGGATAGAAAGAGAAGGGAAGTCTCCCCAGTGGGACTCAGCATAAAATAACTTGCTGCAGGGTTTTAAAAACAAGTTTAAAAAAAAATTAAGTTTCCCATAAAAAAAACCCAAAAGAAAGTCACACATAAAAAAAGAAAAAAAACACAACAAAAAATGTTAAAGTGCCCTGCACCCCACATACACCAAATATGCGTTGGGTGTGCCTACGTGTGAAAACAACTATTGTGCTCATTACACAACACGTTACATATCAATGTGAAAGTCAAAGTGCAAGCAATAATTCTAGGGCCATCAATCACTGATGACACTAAACTGTTGAGCAGCAAAAGCTTTTAAAGTGTCGCCTTTAGGCAATTATGAGAAAGGTAGTTTTTTGCTATTTCGCAGACGCGCGCAACTTTAAGGCTTGACATGTTTGGTGTCCATTTAAAATCGACGGGACCCCGACTTTTATATTTTATGCAAAAAAAAATACTAATAAATGTTTTAAAAACATAATGTAGGAAAACCATTTTTGTTTCCCAAAATTTTCGATAATTTTTCCTCAATAGAGTAAAAAATTAGGGCTGGTAATATTAAAATTTTCCTGTTCGATTAATCAAATTTTTTTTTAAATCGATTAATTTCGATTAATTATAACTACATTGGCCTATACACATACAGCACAGCAATGAAGTAATAAAATGAACTAGGATCACACTAATCCAGCACGTTATTAATCTCACGTGCCCCACTCAATATGGCCGCCGCTTAAGTGGGGCAACTCAGAATAATAACGTGCTGGATTAGTGTGATCCTACTTCATTTTATTACTTCATTGCTGTGCTGTATGTGTTTAGGCCAATGCCAGGGATCCCAACCTGAAATAAGCAATTTCAGGGAGGTGTCCCTCTCATTTCAGGGAGGTGCCCTCTCCCCCCCCC